GAGATCCAGGTGTGCAGGAGGGCTCCAGCCCAGGAGACCCATGGCGCACTCTGCTGGAGAAAGGTGGTACTTCTCCAGCTCCCAACAGCAACTGCCTTCAAGGGGACATAACTTCCTCATTTAAAAAATTGGTGTTTCCGCCCGTGACCTGGAAGCAAAACAACAGAGCCGCTGACGGAAAAAGCTCCACAGCCTGTGGCCGCAACAACTAAAAGGTGAGGAGATTCCTTATTACAAAATATCTCCAGTTGTTTTAATGTTAAAACACTTTGGCTGTGTTGTGATTTCCTGAAGTGAGCTGAATCTTTTAAATCCATCTGTGGACAGAGAAATTGCTCAGAGTGATTTTGTTTTTTCGGGGGGTTTTTTTTGCGAACGTGTACACCAGAAAATAAGAAAAAGAATTTAAAAAAGTAAGTTGTGCGTTCTGCTGTGGATAGCAGTTGAAAGTCCGATTGAAGGTCCTGCGCAGACGCCTTCAAACATTAGACTGCTCACTAGGATAAGTTGGTTGGAGAGCCCAATGGTTTCTGTATGCAGAAATGGAAGGTGATTTTATTCCCGGTCTGCCTGCAGACACGAAGGATGCATTTACGAAAACAGAAGTAGGCAGCGTGCCAGCAAATATAGAGGATTTAAGAGTTTTGCCTGTTTCCTCTCCTAAAGAGGGACAAAAAAGCGGAGTGTTGGCTGAAGAGACGGTCGATATAGGGTTTGCTTTGTCCGGATTGTCCCTTAAGGATAACGAAAGAGGCGGAACCGTCTAATGTGCCAGTCAACATTAAGGTTAAGAGTTTTTCCTGTATACTTCCCTTAAGGACTCTACAAAACACGGAGCGGTGACTGAAGAGACGATCGATATTGGGTGGCGCTTTTCCTGTATCGTCCCTTAAGGACACTACAAAAGAAGCGGTATCGTCTAAAGTGGCAGCCGACATTGGTTTCAGACCTTTGTTCAGTGCTCTCTGAATCCAGAAATATCTCGTTAAAAGCGAGTCTAGAGAGGGGAAGAAATATAATATGATCATGGCGGGTTTTCCATTGAAAGATGCGGAACACTATATTAGAAAATTTGATGAATGGATTGAAAAAAATGAGAGAAGATGGAGTGTTTGGAGAATTAGAGGGCCCCCCCTCCAAACGCTTATTAGCGTGGTTTTTAATTGGATACACTAAAAAAATAGGTTGTCACAAGCTCGTGTAAATGTTCTGAACTATATTATCATAAACAACACTATGTTAGAAGCCAGCATGTGTGTGTATGTCTAACTGTCTGTTGTATGCTGTTTATTCAACGTCTGTCTGGGGTATAAAATGTTTGTGTGTATAAACAGATTATCAAGAAATATGATCTGGTCTATAATAATTTTCTATTAGAAAGTGTTTGGTTTTGGTTATCTTTCATTCCTGTCGTTATGCAAATGCTGTCGATGTTTCTGTGATTTTTGGAGGTGAACCTTGGAAAGGAGAGCTTAAAAGATAAGAAATATATTGATTGATATATTTACAATTTACGATGTCTTGAAGTTAACATTTTAAGGTAAGAAGATCGATTAGTACATGTGAGTGCTGTAGGCCCCCGCCCAACATTGAGGTCCAAAAGGTGTTTCACACAGAGCAGCCGTTCACTTAGGGGCAGGAGAGAAAAGAAAAAGCAGACACAGAGAGACTGAGTGCACGCAGAGCCGATCATAGCAGAATTAGGGACCAGGAGTCTAGAAGCAGTTTTCGACTTAGAGACATGTACCAATTACTACACTAGAATGGTATTGTAAACTGCATTTAGAGTGACTGAGTCTGGAGCTTATATTTGAAAATGTTAAACCCCACAAGCTAAGTTTGTCAAACTGTAGCAAAGAGAGTATAAATGAAACACTGATCACTGAGAATACTCTAAGGTGGATTAAATGGATCTTTACTCAGTCAACTGTTCAAAAGAGAGTGGGTTACATCAAATAAATAAATTAGGAAGGTTGAGTTCAGTGGATAAAAAGAAGAGAGGCAGACAGCGGTAGATAAAATGGAGGGTGAGTTTAATAGAAAAGGGGAGAAATGGGCAAAGAAGATCGAAGTGCGGGTTCAGTAAGAATTAGTGAAAGGAAGCAAATGCCACAATACTAGGGAAGCCGGGATCCCATTAGTTGTGTAGTTACAGAGGTAGTTTTTGAAAAAGGTCCAACACCAGTGATAGATATTTTGATTTAGGGCAGTAACTGTCCTTTTATGGTTGATACAGAGGCCAGAGACAGCACCCTGAATCTTGATGTCCCCACCTCCCAAAAAAATTACACAGGTAATGGGATTTTCTGGAGAAAAACAAACTTGCCACTTTTCAGAACCCATTAGAGGTGTTCGCGTATTTGAAAATTCTAACATGTAATTTTTGGGGGTCGCTTAGATTAGAAATCATTGGGTGTGAGAACTTAATTTGATGTCTAACGTGAGCAAATAAATCTTGGGTTT